CGTGTGTGTGTGTGTGTGTGTGTGTGTGTGTGTGTGTGTGTTTTGTATCTTCAAAGTAAACAAAAAGTACAGTGATTAACTCTTGTTCCTCTGCAGACACTGAGATCCTTTGGGTCTACATGGACACACACCAGCTCTCGTTCATTTAATAAACATATGCTGGCCTTTGGGGGCGACACGCACTATTTTAGGTGCTAGGGGCGCACAGGGAGCAAAACTGAGAAATCTCTATTGTCTACGGGATGATGTTCCAACTGGGGACCAGGTGCTAAGGAATTTGCTGTCTACTATAAATGTAGGGCAACAAACACTACCTACGTAGATGTCCATGGTAAGGGGCGGGTACAGCAGGAGGCTCTTTGGGACCTGTGCTGTCAGGGAAGCTGCAAGGTGGTGTGTTATGAAGAGTGACCTATGTCGGAAATTGTTTCCCTTGTGACATAACCTAAAATACCTGCCACACAATCTGAGTCGCTGAAAGCTTAGCAGAGGGAAGTAACCAGGGAGAAGCTTGTGGGAAGAATTTTAAGCAGACCATGTAGCACCTTAGACATGTTTCCAACTCCATTTAAAAAACGTCTCCCTCTTCCTCTCTCCCTTTCTGCGTGTGTGTTTAGACACCTGTGTGTGAATGTGTATGCCTACATTCGAGAAACCATACTGCTAAAAATGATTTAATATGGAGAGGGAGAGTGGGGGATACAGGCAGGTGCACCTCATCTTCTGGATGGAGAAATGGTTCTTGCCATTGTCTGGTCTCCTTTTTTAAGTTCTTTCATAGAAGGCCATACTGATTTCATCGGAATATGTAATTGCATTAAAAACTTAGGTCTTGGATTTTAATAAGTTCCTAGAAAATTCTGGCACACCCTAATTAAAGCAGGGCAGGATTATATATATTTTTTTAACTTGAAGGAGACACCATGAGGGGAAGAGAAACCATAGCAGTAATGATGAATGCAGATGAAACTTAATTGCTCAATCTGCACAAGATTAAACTCGTGTGTTAGTGGGCTGTCCGAGACTGATGAGATGACACTGGGCTTTGCTTGAAATATTTAGCACTGGGCTAATCCTGCCTTGGATCATTTGAACCAACAGTCACCCCAGGAGAGAAAAATCCATACTCTTGGTATTTCTCATCACCAGAGGGGCAAAATCACAGGATGAAAACAGAATAATAGCTCGTTCTTCTGTTGGTCTCTAAACACAGGACCAGAGAATGCAAAACCCAAGAGGAATTCTTCACCAGGTACAATCTGAGTCAACTTTCCCATGCAGCCTCCGTTCAGACCTTACTCTCCTTTACTTCACTCACCTTGTTGTCATTTGTGACAGAGTTCCCTCCTGGAGACTACACACCTTGTTTTTTATGTCACTTATGAAGGCATATCCTTCCTAAGACTCCATGCCACATTGACAGTAGAGTTTCCTTGTATAGAACATGAAGAGCACGCCATTCACCAGATGTTTACGAAGGTAACTGAATGGGAGTGCTGCTGTGTGTATGTGATCAAACCCAGAGCCTAAGATCAGACAAATGGATGTCAGAATGGCCTTGACAAACTTCTAGTGGGCCAATCTAGTATTTTCCCTCAAATTTGATTCTCATACCAGGAAGAGAGATTATTAAATTCTCTATTGTTTATTTTTTAAAAGCAGTATCTCAAGGGTCTGTCAGCTTAGAGGAATTGTGATATTTGTTTAGTAAGAAAGGTAAAGAATGTCAGCTTCAGCCGTCACCTGTGCTAGATGATAGAGCTTTAAGTTGGAGATATCTTTTGTGAGCGAGCCTTCATATATCACACTTTCTTTTGGAGATTGTCCAGTAGAGAATTTTATGTCCCTTGCTGGGAGAGAGATTATTGGAAGCGTAGGTTTATAAAAAGCTTAGGGTGCATGGGAAGAAACTAGATGGTTCTCTTTGACCAGAGGAAAAAGCAATTATAATTGTAGGTGACACTCTACCAGCCTCCTGTACTCGAGCAAAATATAACTTTAGAACCTAGAGGTTTTTTTTTTTTTTTTTTTTTTTAATCAGAGACCATCATTTGCTGGCCAAATGAGAATGGTTTCTATAGAAATTATCCTAAGTTCATGTACTCTTTGGAGCTGTAAGTGTAACTAACCAGATGGCTGACAAATGTTGCTGCGATGTGTGGCTTTTAAGTTTTTATTTTAAGTAAAAATTATGACTTTTGTCACTGAACGAATTGTAACAGCAACAATTATTTTAATGAATCAATAAAAGAAAATTGTTAGGGAAAAGTTGCTAAAAGATAGTCAAAAATGGTAAATTCACAGGTTAACTGTTCTCATGTTACAAAGTGCTTTAAGGTAGGCCTGGAATATCTCTAAAGAGAGAAGCTAAATTTTTTTCTTTTCCAAATTTGTGTCTAATTGCCCACCTTGCTTTATACTTGGGGAAGAGAATGAGCAAAAGAAAAGACCACAGGGGAAAAAAAGGACATTGACATACAAGACAAGAGCACTGGAGTTGTCAAATTCATTTAGAATAAATGGAACCATTGACAAAAGACTAGACCTCACTGGCCCAGAATCCATAAACCAGACAGAATTCTAAGATAAGTGTGTGTAAAATATAATGGCAGGCACTCTTTGAGGTTTTGCTCATTATAAAAAAGCACATATATGCTTCTCTGCACCTTTATTTCATGCTGCATAAAGTTAAAATACCTTGATTCAAATCTTGGGTGATCTAGACTTGACTTCTGCTCTTATTAGCCTTTATTCTCAATCATGTTATTTATAAGGTTAACAACAACAACAACAACAACAAAAAACAACACATAGTGCCAAGAGAAGTAATATGTATGGAGTATGCCTGGCACATAACCATGGGCTTCCCAAGCTGAATCTGACTGTAACACTCTGTGGAGTAATGCTATAATTATCCACATTCACAGGTTAGAGGTTGAGAACTGCTCTGACGTCCTCCGGCCAATGTCCTCACTGGTTTCCCATGCTTTATGACTATCCCTGCCATTCACTTCTCTTGCTGCTCTAAAAAGGGCTTCCCTAAACCTCTTCTACCTGCTAACTAAATTCTTCTAGATCTAACAGGACACCATTTTCCCACTTCAAGTGCAGCCAAGTGCTTTGCAATTATTTTGCTGCAAGCGTCTGTGATCTTGTGGCTTTCTGAACTGTCAGTAGAATGTCAGTGCGCTGTTTAGTTTTTGATAACTCAACACAAACTAGAATCACAAGGGATGAACGAACTTCCACTGGGGAAGTGATTCACTCTATCGTCCTGTAGGTAAGTCTGTGCGGCATTTTCTTGACTGTGTATTGATGTCAGGGGGCCCAGCCCACTGTGAGTGGTGCCATCCCTGGGCAGGTGATCCGGGAGGTGTAAGAGCCAGTAAGCAGTGTTCCTCCGTGGTGCCTTTCCTGAGTTCCTTCAGCGGTGGGCTGTGATCGGGATGTGTAAGCCAAGTAAACTCTTTCATCCCCAAGATGCTTTTGGTCACGGTATTTCTCAGAGCAACAGAGAAGTGAAGTAGGACAGCAACCCCTCAGCAAGAGGACACGACCAGGGAGCTTGCTAAAAAATGCAGGTGTGGAGACGCCACTGCAGAACCTCTCAAGCAGAAACTGCTGTTCTAAAGGTGCCCCAGATGGCATGGTGTGTACTGACACTCAGAAACGACAGGATGGGAGTTCTCTTCAGAACTCTCTTCACTTTGTATTTCTGTTATCTATATGCCAGATTTATATTCTCAGCAAAACGAAAGGTTTTGCCATCAGATATATGTCACCTCTTTGTATCCTTAAGTGTATATGTCAGAAGATGTATGTTTTTAGTGACGTAACAACACATACATTTAGAAATTTAGCCCATTTCTAGGTCAAGGTGTACTAATCGCTATTTGCAATGGTTTTTCCCGCTTCTTAACAGGATCACTTTGCATCATTATTATAGGTATGGCTTTCATAAATTCAGGATTTAGACAATGTTGAAAATGTTAAATGCTATAATTGTACATGAAATAAAACCTTCATTCTGTTGCATAGCATTCAGTATATAGTTAGCTCCTCCCACACCACATACTCCCTTGCTTATGCACAAATAGGTTTATAGACAAAAAAAAATCAGTGCTTAGAAAACAGAAAGACTGAAAGCTGACGACTTCCTTCAATCATGTGAGAAACATTTTTGATTTGTTTATTGGTAGTCAGGGCAGACACTGTCTTGCAGAAACAGTCCAGTGGAATTTTGTTTTGACAACTATTTGGTAACAAGCTCTATTTTAGAGCTGCTTTTGTTGAACAGCAAAACTTGAGTCACTTGGATGCTCCTATATCATTGACTGCCATTCACACACCAAGGACTCATTGAAATGATTGACTTTCCAAAATGGTCACTGTTTTTATTTAGACACTGTGTTTGCATGTGTTTGTACCTCTGAATATTCTCTGTGAGCGTGGCCAGCTGATCACTGAGACTGGCAGATGCCAGGGCCCTTCAATCAGCTTCTCATTGCTGTACAGTCTGGCTTCTCCCTTCCTTTCACGGAATACATAATTGGACTGCATGCATGAAAGGAAAAGAGGGCAAACACACATAGGTGGCAATTTTTCACTTCCACTGATCCCATTTTAGCAGTCAGTGTGATCTCTTGTGAAATTCCAAATGTAAAAATTGTCAAAACAAATCCTTTGGAGCCGAAAAATATTTGACTCGGAGAAGAACCTGCTTCGGTTTCTTTTAGGTTCCACCGCCTCACTCCTCCCCAAACCCTGTGTGTGTGTGTGTGAGTGCTTGAGTGCGTAATGCATGTGTGAGCATATGTGTGTGTGTGTGTGTGTGTGTGTGTGTGTGTGTATGTGCGTGCTTGCGCGCACGCGTGTGCCCGTGTTGTTTTAGTAACAGGCTCTCTTCCCACCTCAGTCATTGGTTTGCTCACTCTTATGTGGTGAAATCAATGCTTCCAGAGCAGGGGCTTCTGAGCGACTGCGGGAACAATCACTTCCAAATGACCTCCTGCGTCTTAGCGGGGAGCGTTGAGACCACACCCAAGGTAAAAGGAAGTCTTTGCTTAATGCGTTCAGTAACTTTTAAAGGCACTGCGTTCCTGGCACACGCCAGAGGGTGTGATGGCAAGCTACCCGGGCACTGATAAATTTGTCTGTGTATCGAAACGAGATCTTATCTACTGTTAGAAAAATGGGCAACTGATAAAGACAAAACTGCTCATGGGGCAAAGAAAATGCTAAGAGTTGATGTTACAGTGCTTGGGCTGCCTTTTCTTAGTAGGAGGCTAGTGGTCCTCTGCGCTGCGAGTGTCTACATGGGGTGGGTGTGGGTATGGGGGGAACTTTGGGGAAAATAGGAGAAACAAAGGCACACAGCCCAAAGCTGAGAAAATAAGCATACAGCCTGTAAGGTTCTGATGAGAACATTTCTCACACCACCAGCCTGCGGGGCGAGAAGGGGTCAATTGTACAAAACTGGGGTCCTGCGATCCAAGTCTAGGGTACTATTTTAATCCATTTAGTTCTTATTTCTATTATTAAAAGTTTCCCAGTGATCAGATGTTTAAATGGCATTGGCAGCTGAAAGTGTTAATTGGCAATTAAGAAGTGAATGCCATTAACTCGCATCTGCTTCTGCTTTGTTGGAAAATGATTTTTTTTTTTTTTGTCACCATAGCGATTCATTTTGGGGCTCCGTTGGATCTGCCACACAGTATGCAATAAATGATAAATGCCCCCCCCCCCCCCGAAAAAGGGATTCATCAGTCTACTGGTTAATGTGATTCTTCAGAATATTTCATAGTGTGGCTAGCGTAGTTCCAAATCCCATTCCATCAAAAGGTCTTTTCATGTTAACCTTATTTCTTGTATGATACAGGAGCTGGAGAAAGATGGTGAAAAGAGCCCTGTGCTAATTTTGTAGTGCTTTTGTGAAAGTGCTTTCCCTTTTCCTGATGTTCTGGGCATGGGAATATGGACAGGACTTAATCCCTGTGTGTGTGTGTGTGTGTGTATACAAAATATACAAAGCAATCCATGTGCGTGTGTATATATATATATATATATATATATATATATATATATATATATAATATGTATATACAAAATATACACATATAATATATAATAATATACACATATATAATATATATATATATCAGCAACTAAAATAAGGAAGTAGAATTGTTTTCCCGCATTGGTGAAAATATTTTACTCAGGGCATTAAGGTTCCTCAGGCGAGATTGTAACCACAAAGTTGAAGGCAGCCATCTTGCCTCTGTTCTGGGCCATCTTTCTCATCATGCTGAAGATCCCCGCATGGCACCATGATAAGAACACATCGTGTTGGTTCGTGCGCTGGCTTCCTTTCATGCTTTGTTCTTGTTTTATTCACTAAAACCATTCCCACCAACTTTTAAAAAGACTGTAAAGCAGCACTTGTTGTGAAGCAGCACTTGTAGAATTCTGTACTTTAAAGATTTAAGACAAGTTGATTTGGACAGTTGGAACAGGCATTTGGAGAGGTTCTGATCACTGTATATGCCCTAGAAAGTATGGCTACTTGCTGTTTATTAAGAGTCAGTGGGTTTTGTAACTGTGGGGTATATACACTGAAGTCTTTCATACAGAACTATTTCATTTCCTTTGGATAAACTTCAGGTAGAGCAAGTCATTTTCTGTGAAAATTAGGGCAGGAAAAAGCACTTGGATGTAAGGTCAAAATTTCACCCTTTCCTTCTTGATTCCTATCAAATCACTGTTCTGTCCTGATTATTTGAATTACTGTAGCTACTTTTTTTTTTTCATTGTTGTAGCCAAATACCCATCTGAAAGCAATTTAAGAGAGGAAGGGCTCATTCTGGCTTGTGGTTTGAGCTTGTAGTTGAGCTTGCCCAGAGAGGCATGGCAGCTGGGGTGAGGCAGCCTGCTGAATGGTACCCTTAGTCAGGAAGCAGAAAGAAAACAGATGCTACCTGGCACAGAAAGAATCCATCTTCTCCTTTGTTTGGAACCCCAGTTCATCAGGTGCTGCCCACATTCGGGTGGGTCCTCCTCCCTATCGGTTAAGCCTTTCTGGAGACCCTTTCAATCATACCAGGAGTGTCTCCTCAGACATTTCAGAAGCCTACCAAAGTGATAATGCAGCTTAACACCTAAGTATCCCAGCTGATATCCCTCTCTACACCAGCCTTCATACCAACAGGACACTGACAAGATCAGTTATGGAAGCAAACCTTCCTAGGAAAACCTAGGAAGTCTGTAGCCATTATGCTGTTGTTGATCAGCCTGAAGACCCTCCTTAGCCTTATAAGAAGTCTAACCTTTCTTCCCACTAAGGAAAAGAGTCACTTACTACTTTCGGGTGATGGGCTGCTGCTCACAGACTCTGACACGGCTATCATAAAGGGTTGCTGACAAATTTTATTTTATATTTTGTTTATATTATTTCCCCTCCCCAGCTTCCCCTTCCCACCCATACTTCATAAGCTTTCTTTCAAAAAAGAAAGAAAGAAAAGAAAGAATAAAGACCAGTGAGAACTGAGTGTTGAAGCCACCCTCTGTACGTTAGGTTCAATGTGATTGTAGCTGTGACAGTGTTCCTTATATGAAATTGGGCCCCCTTGCATCTTGCATTTGCTACATAATTGTTTACAGTTATTCTATCCTCTTCTTTCATCTCCCCCTTTTAATGTGTGGGCATTATTCTTTTCTATCTCTTCTGATTAGTGTTCATTTGAAGCCTATTTTGTCAGTTGTTAAAATAACTACATTTGCTTGCTTCTTGGATCCATCTTCTTGGAATTCCCTTTTCGTTCCTTTACCCAGAGGTGATGTCTATCCTTAAAGGCGAGGTGTGTTTCTTGGAGGTAACCAAAAGATAGATCCTGCTTCCCAATCTAATCTGTTAGTCTGTGTTTTTCTGTTGGGGAATTGAGACTGTTTATACTGAGAGTTATTGTTGATAGTAATTATAATTCCTATTATCTTGTTGTGGCCTTTTTGTTTTCTTGTTTTTTGAACTCTGATTATTTATTCTTTGAGTATAGTTAATATTATATTCAAACTGAAGTTTTCCTTCTAGTGTGTTCTATAGAGCTAGATTGCTGGACAGAAAAATCTTAACTTTGTTATTATCATGAAATGTTTTTCTCTCTCTTGTGTTTGTGATGGATGGCTTTTCTGGATATAGTAGTCTGAGCTGGTGTTTGTAGTCTTTTAGACCTTATAGGTCCTTTTGACTTTCAGGACACCTGTTGATATGTCAGCTGTTATTCTGATGGGTCTGCCTTTATTTGTTTAGTTTGTTTGTTTTGTTTTCCATATCTTTTCTTTGTCCTTTACAATTAGTGTCTTGATAATTATGTGTCACAGGGATTTTCTTTTCTGGTCCTATCTGATGTTCTGTATGCCTCTTGCACCTTGATAGACATCTCTTTAGATCTGAAATTTTTTCTTCTATGATTTTGTTAAAAATATTTTTTTTGTGTCTTTGAGCTATCTTCATCTCTTTCTATTATGTGCTGATTTAGTAGCTGTGGCATGTTCAAAGAGAAAATTTTTGTACCTAGATTAGTTTTAATATTTACCATTTCCTTAGATTGAGCTATGCATTTCTTCTTCCCTTGTCTTCAAAACCTGAAATTCTCCCATTTCATCTAAATCATTTACAAGGCTTTTCTGTAAACTTACTGTTTGATTTCTCATGTTTTTCCTTTCAAGTTTTATTTCAGTTTGGCTTTTCTTTGGTGATTCTATTTCTTTGTTAAATTCTGTTTTCATATCTTAATCATTTTCTTTCATTTCATCCTCCTGTTTGTTTATATTTCCCAGTCTCCATATTCTCGTTAAGTCTTTTAACATATTCACTATTGCTGTTTTGAAGTTCTTGTCTTGTCCTTTAGTTAAATTGCTTCCCCCCCCCCCCAGGAATATTACAATAGAGGTGTGGGCTCCTGGAGGAGGCATTATGTCTTGGTTGTTTATATTCATATTTTTGCAGTGGTATCTAGGCATCTGGTGGAGTTAAACATTCTGGGCTATTTCTTGGTGTTGGCACTTTGTCACATCTTTGTTCTGTGGGTATTTGGATCTTTGTTTGCTGGTACCCTAATCTTTCAGGTTGCGGATCAGGTGCATGAGTCTCCTTTTTTTTTTTTTTTTAGTTTGGAAGCCACTCTGGGTTTCAGGGTCTCAGGGCACAGTGGTGTGATGTTGGTGAGAGGGGGTTGGGAAAAATTACCCTTGGGAACCTCTTCCTGATGTTCTGGCTGGGGCACTGGGCTCTGACTCCAGTTAGACCCAGACTGGTGCAGGAAGAGTGATGGAAGAGCAAATGTTTTTAAAGGCAGAAGAGACTATTAAAAAGTGAAAGTTGAATCAAGTGTGTGTGTGTCCATATACTTTATGTGCCCCTAGAAATAGGTGTTGTTTCCACAAAGCATGGGTGTTTCACTTAGTAGAACATTATACCCCATAATAGATAGTACAGAGTAATTTAGATCTTTCAAGAATGTGGGTGAAATCCTACACAGGGCTATCCATCTTCTTCATTTGATTTATGCTCACGAAGAATATCTCTAATCAATAATCTAGTAACCATGTCTCCAGTTCCAGAGACTCTGTGGACCCCAATCTTTACATTTTATCATGTTTGTGCTACCATGCTGTCTCTTGGTCCTGCCAATCTTGCTGTCACCCTGCGCAACGTGGCTTTCCTCTCTCCTCTGTTGCCTTATATTCACTTGACCTTTGTATGTTTAGTGCTCTTCCTCTCAGATGGTCTTCTCAAAGACCAGACTCGATAGTCATTCAGAATTTCTGTACTATTATTTTTGTGGGAACACCTCTTAATCTTCTAGAGTAAAACATATGGTTTAAAATGATAGAAATAGAGGGCATGCACAGTTACTATGGAATACTCAAACGCTTAGGTAGTTTCCCTTTTAACCCATATGTGCTAAAAAATAGTGTCAAAATTGATGCAAAACATGAATTCATATGGAACCTGACATTCTGCTGAAAATGAGGACGTCCATGTCACATAAACAATGGTCTCACAGAAAGCAAGGTAGGCCTGGTTTTCCTCTAGGCTGGCTAGATTCCCAACTAACAACTGAGTGTTTCCAGGCATTCTCAATCATCTTCTAATTTTCCTACCATGTCCTCCAACTTTAAAAAAATTTTAATTATGTGTATGTGTCTATATGCCTGTGTTGTCTATGTGAGCCTAGGTACCTTAGAGTCTAGACAAGGGAGTTGCTACCTCTGCAGCTGGAGTTACAGGTCATGGTGATCTGGGATCCTGACTCAGACCCCTGCAAGAGTGTATGTTCTTATCCCCTCTGGTTTTGAACTTTATCCTCAAACCACTTCAAATTATTGGATTTTTTTATTTCAGTGAATGAGCTTTAATTTCCTGTAGTTACCTAGTTAAAATACTTATTTCAAGTCTTGTGCATCTTTCGTTCTTCCTCTCCAATTATATATTTTCCTCCATATCATTGTCACCATCGGTATAAACTCAAGTTTGACTCACCATTTTTTTTTGGGGGGGAGTTGTGGTCCTCTACAAAGCCTGATAGAAAGTTTTTACAGCACTTAGGGAAATACTGTATATTTCGTATATTTATTTATTACTGCCTGCCTCCCTCCACTGGCTAGTACATTCATGACAGCAGGAATTTCTGTTCATTATTAAATTGCCAGGCCCTTGAGCTGATTTGACTTTGTTGAATAAGCAAAGGATAAGGCAGTATATCTACATGAATGTCAGCTGTAGCAGAGGAATCGGAGCAGGACTGAAGGGCACGGAGAACAGATATGCTGGCTGTGAGGGGTGGGGAGAGGAATGGAACCCAGGGCCCCATAAAAAGGTCCTTTAGCACCGAGAGCATATCCTTTTCTATTTGTGAGTAATCTGCTGAGTGTTTCCTAGTCACTGTTATAGCCTTCCTTCCCAGGAGCTGCAAAAGCAAGCACTTAATGAAATTACTTCTAAAGGAATTAAGTATAAATAAACGAGAAGGCACTTCCCTTAGAGCAGATGTGGGTAGACTGATAGGCATTCTTTTTATGTTCAGATATACACGTTTACATGAATATGATGCATATTTCAGTTTTCTTGCATGTTTTCTGGTTGTAAGTCAGTTAACATGAGTCTGTTACCTTGGGGTTAAATGGCTAGATGTCATATTTGAAGCAGACCAAGTTCTGGGTTTCTAGTGACCTCTCTGTACACAGCTGGGACAGAAAGCTTCTGCTAAATGGCTTCCAGGCTGCTGCTTTGAGCTGCTCCCATCCTCCAGCAGGTCCCTATCAGGGCAGACTGCTTTCCTTGCTACCGTAGTTTTAAAGGAGGTTCTCATGTGTTATGGATATTTTCATGTGGATTTTATTTGCGTCAGGACAGGTGATCTTACGACAGCAGGCAGCTTATCAAAGTGAATGAGATAAATATGGAACATGGAGAACAAAGACAAGATAAACCTTTGACAAGGCTGAAAGTCTAATTTATCATATATCTCATAGGTCTCTCCTGGAGATTCTGAAGCCAAACCTCTGATCTTCACCTTTGTCCCCACGCTCAGAAGACTACCAACCCACATTCAGTTGGCTGACACTTCTAAATTCCTTGTTAAAATTCCTGAGGAACCAAGTGATAAGAGTCCAGAAACTGTAAATAGGGTAGGATTATTTTTCTTCTTTTTAAAATTTCAAATGATAATCTAAAATTATTCATAATAATGACTTGGAAATTTATGTCAACGTGTACTTCCTCTGCTTAAAGTACAATGATTGTGAAATGTAAGGGTGATTGAAAATATGATTGTGAGGAGTGAAGGTTTAGCGCTGCAGCGGAGCATGAGCTTAGCCTGAGCTCCGTGAATTCCGTCTTGAAGATTGCCATCAATATGCATATGCACGTATGGATAATACATGTAAATCTAGCCTAAATGATGTCAGTTTCTCAAAGTGCGTTTTGTAATCCTCAGCTCTTCTGAGCCGCTGTTTTATTATCTTCTATCAACAGGACAATTGTTGCCTCCTGGGACTGTCCCCAAACATACCTGGAAATAAAACAAAACAAAACAAAAACCCAAAACATTAAGTGTTTCAATTCACCCTGAAAGAAAATCTAAGGGAAAATAGTAGGATGTTATGATTTTATATGTGGTGAATAAATAATACATATTGGGACAGTTGTGGGAACACCGGCATGCTGTATTTTGTGACTTTTATTTTGTATGTCTGAATGAACACCCTTATCTATAATCATAAAACTGTTCAAATGTATTTTAAAGTATTAGAAAAATAGTTACACAGCAAAATGATTGGGGGAAAAATACAAACAGTCTGATAACTGGCAGAGAAAAAAATTCCTAGCATATGTCCTTGGCAAAATTATAATTATAACAAATACGTGATTCTATAAAATCTTAATTTTTGAATACTAGGTAATAAAATATACTATCAAGCTGTATATGTAATAGGCCAGTACTAGAAATGAAAGGGAAAACAGATTAAAGGTCTTGGAAAAGGGAGATGAAAATAAAAAGGGGGGGCATGAGGAGGAAGGGGAGCAGAAAAGGAGTAAGGAATGGTTCTAGAGGGGGCGAACCCTGTCAAACGCATAGTATGCAAGTTTGAAAATGTCCTAAAAACACATCACTTTGCACATCTAATATGCATTAATCAATATTGAAAAAGATCATTTTGGATAAACCTTGTCAAGGTAAACCTTGGAGCAGAAGTTGTCTCTTTAAAATGTATTTCAACATTGTTTTATTCACTATTACAAAGAGTATGAGAGAGGAACTTGTGCTGTTATTCAGTTAAGCAGAGAGGTTGGGCTAATACTGTTTACCTTGTATATGTGAAAAATTCATACCTAAAAAGCAGCACGTTTTCAGTGCTGCTGTTGTATTTCAAAGACGAAGGGAGTCAAATAATTCCAGGGAGATACTGAATACGTGAGGCTCTTCCGGGAAGTTTCTCCTCAGTAGTATCTCGCTTCATACACTGTGTCAATAGGGTCCTTGTTATTAGGCTTGTGAAGAACCGTACCTATATGATCAGTCTTGGTTTCAGACTCCAGTGCTTCCCAGGATAATGATATTCATCTGCGGGTTGCATATATCATATATAAAAATATATGATATATAAGTATATGTAAATATAATGATACATATTATATACCTAATATTCAAATGTTAAGATTTCTATATTAAATCATGTACTTGTAATTACCACTGTATCTAGGACATATATATGTGCATTACAAATAAAATATATAGTAGGTACTTGGTGATATATATGTGTGTGTGTGTATATATATATATATATATATATATAGAGAGAGAGAGAGAGAGAGAGAGAGAGATGTAGACATAGATATAGCTCACCAAGTATCTAAAAGCTTAAGTTTTTCTTCCTAGATTTTAAAAAGTTTGGTATTAGAAAAGATCATTTGTCATTCATTTATATAGTCAATAACCTTATAACATATGTTCAAATGAATAGTAACTGCTCACAGAACTTACTAGCAATTGAGAAGACAGGGAAAGCAAGTCAAGAGTGTGTGGCAAAACCAGAAGGAGTGGTACATGCTGTGAGCTACTTCAGAGTGAAAGAACAGAAAGAGACACAGAAAGCCACGTCTGACAGGCTTTACCTGCGTTATTTAGACGGCATCAGTATTGGGAGCTACACAGTATGGCTGGGAATGGAAATTACCCCTTCAATCCAGTTTGTATTTAATCAGTATTTGACTTCTGTCTCTGTATGTGTAACACATACATGTTAGCATATGTTAAACCTACCACAATAGTTGAACTTGTTAGTATTTAGTGTCTTTTTGAATCAATTTGAGCATTATAGAAAAGTTTCCCTAGAAAAAGAACAATCACAGAATAGTTATTAAAACAAGAAAACTGACAGTGAGATTTTTGAGTACCATCTGTCCATGGCTGTTATTTTAGTAAAAGGAATTTGATAGCCTGATAAAACGATACTAATTCGGGTATTGTAAACATTCTGCTTATTCATAGAAAAAAAATGTATGGAAAAATTGAAAATTCCCAGTTCAACATGAAATAATGTACTGAAAAAAATTCCACTTCATGTTTAATTTGTTTATATCTTTATACATGGACACGTATATCCTTTGATGCGGGCATGAGTGGAGGCCAGAGGCGGGCCGTGGGTGTCCTCCTCAGCTGCTTTTCCCCCACATCTTTTGAGACAGAGGCTCTCACCAAACCTGGATTTCACCATTTTGACTATAATGCCTGACTATCTCCTGAGTACGCTCCTCAGCCACGGTGTTGGGATCATAGACAGGTGTACAGCACTTATCTTTTTATTTTGTGGACGTTAGGGATTGGAAATCAAGTCTTTCTGCTTTTGTAGCAATTGTTTTATCCGCTCACATACCTCTTCAGCCCCAATATCTTTAAGAAAAAAAAAAGAAAAGTCCTATTCATAAGCTCCTTCCAGCTAGCTTGGATTTTTACTCTGATAATTGATGTACTTTGTGTCAATGTTACTTTTCCTTTCAAAAGTTTAGAAATTTATTTTATTTTGGTTCCTTTAGGATTTTCTCCCCCAGCACTTTTATTAGTAAGGGATATGCTGGTTGTTTGACAATTAAGTAAAACCTTTTCCAATCCGCGTTACAACTGTTTCATGAATGTCTTCACTGCATTCAGTTCTTGCTCTGTCCATCACAGTTCCTTTCCTCTCCCTTCCTCATGATTTACTGGGAAGCGGTAAGCTTTACTTGTTAATGCTAAATCTGAACTCTAAGGTAGTACAAAAAGTGCAAACAGGTGAGCTAGTAAAAGGAACCACGTGTTTAGTCCATTTCTCTCAGGCAAGCCTGGTATATAATGTATTAAAAACCTTTCCATGAGTAGCTTCAACTTGTTAGCATATTTTAACAAGATGCATTTGTCACCCCTGAGTCAGCAGCTTTACCTTTCTACATCTGTTGCAGTTTGAGTACAGTGACCATATGACCTTCGGCTGTGAGAGAAAACAGGAGAGGGACCAGAGGACACTGGCCTATCCCACAGAAGTCAGTGGAAGGAATTCACAAAGAAAGGAATTTGATACAAAGGAGCCTCAAGGAATGCAGAAAAGTGATCTTTTCAAGGCAGAATATGTTTTTATTGAGGATTCTGATGGGGAAGATGAATCTGCAAACAAACAAGGTGAACGAGGTCCTGCAGGAGGAACAGGCAACATGGCTACTCGGCCCAAGTCTCTGGCTATTTCTTCCAGTCTGGCTTCTGACGTGGTACGTCCGAAAATACGAGGGGTTGATCCCAAGGCCTCCTCACATGCTGAAATTCCTCATGGGATGGCCCCTCCACAAAAGCATGGACAGGTAAGTTTTATCTGAGTGCTGTTTTCACTACCTTTAGTTGTGGGTATCTGACAATATCCTCCTTTTTAAAGAATACATGACTCTCAAAGAAAATGATGAAAACCATCATACCTCAAGATCACAACTAATCGCAGTGTGTATAAGCATCGAGAAGCTGATGAGACCAAAAATTATACTGTGAATCAACTGGACAGAAAGTGTAGCGTATTTAACTAGAGTAGATTTGGGGAAATATTTCCCTTTGAGCGATTCTTGGAGAGGCTTGACATGACAGAGGGTGTGTGGAGGGCTGGGTACATCAAGGAGCACATTTCAAAAAAGAAACATCCAAGAAGCATTAAATGTGTCTTAGAAATAAACACAGTACTTTCAAACAAATAAAGGAATAATAAGAGAATAGACCAGGAAGTAAGAGTGTGTAAGAAATGTAATTTTTGATCTGGACTGAAACGCCCGGCATCTCTGCAATGCAAGGTGTGGTTTGAAGGCCGGGGACACAGAGGCTGGCTTTGAAGGTAACGCATCGAGAGGCCTCACTGCTTGTCAGAGGAGAGTTCACTGGTTCTGACAGATCCTGTTTAGTTCCAATCAAGCCAAGCTCTTATAAGCATCATAAAGTAGCTCAAAAGACATTTTTGTTGGTGAATTGATCTTTTTGTGGTATTAGGGTTTTGCAAGATTGTAGAGTAGGTCTTCTACGTGTTGTCCCTCATGTCTATTCCTACTGCCTTCCCTGATTCCTGATGCTGTAGCTTTCATTACTTTCATGCATCCAGGATATTCCACTGTCTTTGAGTAATGGCAGCTGCTCATTGGGGTGCTGCTGATGTGGACCTCTTTCAAAATTTTTTGTGGGTAATGGTGTTTTGTCAGAATGTATGTCTGTGTAATATACCTGTTGCCCATGGAAGCCAGGGATAGCTTTGGATCCTCTGGAACTGTGGTGATAGATGGTTATAAGTTGACAAGTGGGTGCCGGGAATTGAACTCAGGTCCTCTGCAGGAGCATCCAGTGCTATTAACCACTGAGACATCTCTCTAGCCCTTAAAACATTTTTTTTTTTTTGAAATTTATTCTCAGCTAGGTACTGGAACACAGAACTATAGCAACACAACTCAGGGTGTTCTCAAAAGGCAGTGCAGGCTCAGACATTGCTTTCTTGCCTCAAGAAAAATGATAGATAAGCAAAAATGAGAAGGACAGCCAGTAAGTTAGCATCAGTGGTTAGTCAGAAGAAGGATATTCCTAAAGTATGGCTTCAACTCTACACCTGGCTAGCTACATCTTGCATGGTTTTTCTTCAGCTCTTGTGAACTACCACTCAGTACAAACAGCCCACTCATCTGCTCCTGACTTCTTGATTTCTGTCTTGAATGCTGTCTACCCAGAACCCACACCCATGTTGCTCAGTACTCGTGCTTAGCTTTAGCAGGACCACTTCTCGGGGATAGGAGTTAGTGCTCCTCTGTTTTTGTGACTTTCTTCGATAACAGATTTAAGAAAAATCTCCATCATAATTTCTTTTCTACTTTGAAACAATTGAATTTTTTTCTTCATTAGATCAAAAATAACTTGACATAAAGGTTTAGTTATTGTTAATTCCTGTTGTGCTGTGCTTTGTACAAAGATGGGCTTCACTAAGGTATAGGGGAAAAAAAAACAAGTATCATTAAGTTCACGTTCTGTTCATTTCTGAAGTCCTTGCTCAGGTACTAACTTCATGAAATTTGTTCATGAGAACAATTCCTCTCCCCATCCTGATACAATTCTGATAATTCTTTAACACACAATTGTGTAATGACCACAGCACAGCATGCTTTGTTACTGTATAGTATATGTCTTATCTCCCTTAACAGTTTGTAGAGTCCTTAAAGATATAGCTTATTTTAGCTTCATTTTTACTAAATATTTTGTTCCCTATTGACTTATTATAGTCTGAAAATACTAACAAATTTTGTGGTCTGGTATATCCCAGACCACATTATTGGATCTAACAAATACATGAAGTAATAACCACATTGACTAGAATTTTATATAAAAACCTCTTCTGTTTTACTTTAGCCAGTTCTTTTAATCTTTAAAATGGAACATTTATGTGAAAACACTTTATGGTAAAAAAAAAAATCAATAAATAGAGTTTAAGTAAAAAGTAAAGATAGTATTGAAAATAAAATAAATAGTTGGATAAAAACCTTATAAAATAAAATTAAGCAAGAAAAGACTTAAATCGTTATGGAAAAGTCTAAAAAGTTTTGTCTATTAACAAGAAACTTTCAAAAAAGAAAGTTTGTTATTAAAATATGAAACAAAACCAACAATTTTTGGGCAATTCAAGCTCATTAAATCTTAAAATTGGAGATTATTTGATGACCTTAGTGGGAAAAGTGTGAGAAGGATGACAGAGGCAGAAACAGAGCTGCAAATGGATGAAAAATGATGTCAGGGAAGTCTTGATACCGGAGGCAAGGAAGTAGGAAAACAGGAACAAGACAGGAATCTTACTCACCTGACCCTCTAAGCAAGTCACTGGAAGTCAGGATTCCTTTCTTCATTCATAAAATGAAGTGAGAATGTCAACTTGTGGGCTGAAAAGATGTTTCAACTGTTAACTCACAAAAGTTAGGCTCACAGTGAAAACATCAAGAGAATAACAACTTTCTTTAGGATGATTAAATGAGATAATACACAGAGAGAGAAAGGAAAAAAAACAGAGAGAGAGAGAGACAGAGACAGAGAACTTGGAACTATGAAACTATGACTATGGTAAGCTTTCGATACATGAATTTCTCTGTTCAAGAGGGTTGGGATGGCAACATGTTTGGGGACACATAATAAGAGACATAAAAGAGAAAGAGGCAATGGGGCACAGAGGCACTCCTGTAATCCCAGCACTCAGAGCAGAAGAGGCAGGCAGATCACTGTGAGATTGAGACCAGCCTGGTCTACAAAGCAAGTCCAGGACAGCCAAGGCTACACAGAAAATCCCTGTCACGAAAAACAAAACAAAACAAAACAAAACAAACAAACAAAAACAAAAGGCTTTGTTCATTTGTTCAGATGTAGCTTAGATATGAGAAGTGGGGAGAGGATGTGAACAATAGGATCAAAAGAACTGGCTAAAGTCAAACAGAAGAGGTTTTTACATAAAATTCTAGTCAATGTGATTATTCATACATTTGTTAGATCCAGTAATGTGCAGAATAATAGCTTTGGCCAGTGATAGATGCAATTATGGTCCTAATTAAAATCACAGTGCATAGTGCTGCCGTGGAGGTCTTGGCTCTATCTGTGCTCTCTATAACGTTTTCAGAGTGATCAAATCAGGGAATGATGGATTTCTTAGAATGAATCCCCATCATAAGTGTCAGTAAGTACTTGCGGTTTATAAGTCTTAACATTCCGCATCTTCAGATCTTGTAAAGGAACACCTTATTCACACCGGCATACTGCGTCCCGGTAGCTTTGCATGTATGGATTATCCCATTAGAATGGTTGGTTGACACAGCTTTTCTCCCTTCTGGTCCTATGCATCTACTGCAATACCTGAACTAGTGAGAGAACCTAGATTATATCATGTGAATGATTAAACAAAGGGTCCTGGGAAATATACACAGAAAAGATATTATCATACTAAAACTCTTGATGAATATTCACAGCTGAACAGGAAGTATAATAAGGCACGGAAGACAGCCCAGGACCATGGTCTCATAGTTAGTGATGCTGCTGACGTTTTCCTCCCTAAAACAAAATCATCCTCAGCTTATACCCTGAGGAATTTAGATGTTGAAGATCTTGAAATAAGTTGAGGCATTAAACTCCTTGTTGGAATCTGCTCATTTCTGGGAGGACTAGCTTGAGGAACACCAATTACTTTCTGTAATGTGGCACGGATCTTATCAAAAAGCTAGGAAGCAACGGACATGATTACAGCTGGAAGACCCTAACTTCAGGCAAAACAGAAAACACAAAAGAAGTCCAATCTTGCCTGTGCAGGTGACAGGTGATAAAAGTCTTAACCAAGTATGTGGCTGTCATGATGGGGGCTGAACATTTATGAATGTTTGTCCTTATAGTTGATAGGGGAAAAAAAAAACACAACCGCGCAATTTTATTCCTTGAAACCATTTTTTTTTTATCAAGTGTCATTCCTCTGCCACTTCGCCATTTCTATTCCTGCTTGAGTTGGGCTCTTTAGTATTCTCTGTCTCCTTCCATGGTAAGTAAGCATGGATAAAATGTTGGAGAATTTTTTCCGAGTTAGTGGGAGACTGCAGGCTCTGTCAAAATCTGGCAAAATCCTTCTTATTCATGAATAGTAGTTACTTCCTCTGTATGTCTCAGTTTGTACTAGTGGCCATGGTCAGCAGGAGGGCTATGTGACAGTCAGGTTGAATTGGAGATTGCAGCAGGAAACGCTCTAGGGTTTTCAGAGGATAGTTTCCTGACTAGCTGTTATTAGTAATTTGGATCTGTGTTTGGGAAGGCAAGGGCTACATCAGACATCAGTGTCCAGAGCCTAAAGCAGAATAAATAGAATAATCACTGTGTGGTATGAGCCGAGACTCCAAGAGGAGCACAAACAAACCTGACTTTCCAAGAGACTGTATCTGTAGAACAGTGGTTCTCAATCTGTGGATCGCAACTCCTCTGTCAAAGCTCTATCTCCAAAAATATTTATGTTAAAATTCAAAACAGTAGCAAAATTACAGCTATGTAGCAATGAAAATTACTTTAAAAATTTTAAAATTATAATCAGTTATTACAATTTATTTAGTTTGTATTCTGGCTGCGGTCCCCTCTAGTCTCCTCTCAATCCCACCCTCCCTCCCTCTTCTTCCCCTCTGCCATGCCTACACCCTCTGCTCAGATGTAGCCCATAGGCAGCTCAGTCTCCAAGTGGGTTCCCTAGTAATAGGAGCAGGGGCTGTCTCTGGCATGAACTCAGTGGCAGGCTGTCCTATCACCTCCCCCTGTGTAGAAAATGGCCAGGAATGTAATGGCAGTTGTGGGATTAAGAATGACGATTTCCCACTGCATTGACTAGAGACCAAGCTTGCTAGAATGTTAACAATATTCACACACACACACACACAAAATTGCTAAAAATAAGGAAAGTATTGTCAAAACCTAAGATGTAAAAAAAGCATGAAATGTAGGGAGAGGAGACAGAATAGCAAGAGGTGGGCTTTGCAACAAAGGGGACACTTTCTGTTCACAGTAGCACCAATGATTCCTTGAACAGAGACGTTCATTGGTTAGATTTTAAAAGTTGAATTTAGTGCTGGGTTATATGGATTAAAGCTAGAGTTAGGAATACCCAGAGACTATTACTTCATTGATTTGTATAGGAAAGGCTGAGAATCATCCCGGTAGCACGATTCTTATGTGCGAGCCTTAGAGAGAAGAAGGCCAATCAGTAGGCAGGAGGCCGCCCCTCTACGATATGATTGGTGTGTGAAGACTGTGGGGAGTTTTCTACAAGGGTTGTCAGGGGAAGCTGTGGTCATGCAGGACCAGCATCTGGCAATGTTCACATCTCAGAAAGCAGGGCAGTCACTTCAGCTTTGACTCAGATGTTCTCAAATCTCTTTGACACGTTAGAAATTGTGAGCGCGCAGAGGCACAGCTAACTTTAGATGTACTAAGATAAATTGCAGGGCACCTATCTGATAGCATGGTTGTTTAAGGGACTTAGCGCCTCAGGGATACAGGATACAGTGATTCAGTTCATCTGCCTTAGGAGACTGGCACACTGCGAACATCACTCAGGAAGAGCTCTGACACTGCATCCCAGAGGCTGCTGGTCTTCTGAGGAGAATGTCCTGAGAATGAGTGTGGAGGACGAGAGGGCAGGGGATAAGTGCGGTCAGCACTGCAGAAGTGTTCAAACACGGTGGAAGAAGGAAGTGAGTGCTTAAGAGCACAGAGTAATCTTTAATGGGAAAGAGGAAAGAGAATGCTTCTTATGTCTCAACTAAGACATTCCACGTTGCTGGTGCTGGCAGACAGGGGTGAAATGGACGGCTTATTCTGGGTTACTGTCTGGGAATTTGATGAGTGTCCCTCCTGTCTCCATAAAAATTACTCATTTTTGCCTTTGTCTTTTTTGTTTGTTTTGTTTTATTTTTCTACAGTTTTTTTTTTTTTTGTGTGTGTGTGTGTGTGTGTGTGTGTGTGTGTGTGTGTGTAGCTTGGCTGTCCTGGAACTCACATTGTAGACCAGGCTGGCCTCAAAATCACAGAGATCCATCAGCCTCTGCCTCCCGAGAGCTGGTATTCAAAGTGTGCAACACTCAGGAATGCATATTCTTTTTTTTAAATATAAAATTAAAAATGAATCCCTTGTATCTGGAAAGCATAGAAAATCAAGGTGCTACACTTAATTAGTGTTATGTAAATTAGAATAGTGTTAGTGTAAATTGGAACATTGGTGCATTTGGAAATTACTAACGAACATATCATAAACATAATAATATTACAACTAGAAAGTATAAGTAGATCAACCATAAACCAGCAAATGTTATTAGACATCAGTGTTTTAGAATGTTCTCAACAAAATTATCTCTTAAAATGTTTGGCAAAATTCTGAATTGTTATTAAGAAAAATATCATGTAGTGTAGTATGCTGTTAGTGGATTAGAAGCCTCACTTTGAGGAAGTTTTAGGGAGGCCTTTTATCAGGGGGGCACCTAAAAATTATGAACCTGTGTTCTTAACAGGCTGGCAAAGAATTGAGATATATTGACAGTTTGTTGCTATGTTGAAGCTCTTAGAAAACAGCATTACTTGAAAGACAGCTGGATTCCTGTAGCCGTCAGTTTTAATTTACAGAATAATCTCTAGTAAAATTCTCACAACTTTTCCACATAGGGTACCACATGCAGAGATACCCTGCACACTTGAAATGTCCCCATTCATCTTGTGAGGAGAAATCAGTCATGGAAAGGAGGAGAGGAAAATATTTTGTGATTAAAACACACACATAGGCATGTGTACACACACACACACACACACACACACACAATTGTAGAGTAGGAACTCTGAATTATTTCTTCTTTTTTGGTAATTTTTAAAAGTTTTTATTAATTATACTTTATTCACTTTGAATCCCCCCATAAGCCCCTCCTTTCTCCCCTCCCAATCCCACCTTCCCTTCCCCACACATGCCCCTCCCCAAGTCCACTGATAGGGGAAGTCCTCCTCTTCCTTCTGATCCTAGTCTATCAAGTCTCATCAGGAGTGGCTGCATTGTCTTCTTCTGTGGCCTGGTAATGCTGCTCCCCCTTTCAGGGGGAGGTGATCAAAGAGCAGGCCAGTCAGATTATGTCAGAGGCAGTCCCTCTTCCCATTATTATGGAACCCACTTGGACACTGAACTGCTATGGGCTACATTTGTGCAGGGGTTCTAGGTTATCTCCATGCATGGTACTTGGTTGGAGTATGAGTCTCAGGAAAGACCCCGTGCTCAGATTTTTGGTTCTGTTGCTCACCTTGTGGAGCTCCTGTCCTCTCCAGATCTTACTATTTCCCTCTTCTTTCATAAGATTCCATGCACTCTGCCCAACAGTTGGCCACAAGTCTCAGCATCTGCTTTGATAGTCTGCAGGGCAGAGCCTTTCAGAGGCCCTCTGTGGGAGGCTCCTAACTTGTTTCCTGTTTTATTCTTCTTCTGATATCCATCTTTAAACCTACTACAGTCTGGACACCTAAAGAAACTAATCAAGAGTGAGGACTCTGCCTATAATGCTCAATCCCTATCCCAAAAGGCAAAGAGAATTATTTCTTTTTTAACATTGAGTTTGACTCTAACTACAAGATCAGTGCAGAACTCCAAGCAAAATGTTGTCAGCTTTTGGTAACAGAAACATTGTGTTGCCCAGTCAGTGATGTTTGCGCTTAAATATCCTCCCCAAGCATATGAATCAGTTCCATAAACACCAGCTAAGCAGTGTGGGCTCCAAGATAAACTGCACGGGAATGATTAAGCTTTCTCAGTTTGACTGAGTTCTGTTTAATTTTCCACTTTCACTGATGTTTTCATAGTCTAGACTCTGTCAGTGGTTTCAAATATTACTTATGTGGCAACGTTACCTGTTGATCCTAATGTTTATAAAAGGAGTATTTGGATGTGTTTGCTCAAAGGCAAAGAAGTCTGGAATGGAAGGTTCGGATTTGTTAGAGTTAAGTGTTTTTAGGGCTCAAGATGACATGTCGTGAAGATCATCATAGTGGATCTTGTAGAAATTTTATCCACGTGGCTCTGAAGCGAAATTCTAAAATATGTCTTTTGTCTACTGATAAAATTTTACAGATTTATGTTTATAGACATATTTCTGCTATTGGCTTAGTGTATAATGTATGTATATATGTTAGTATTCACTAATATTTTGGATGACTCACTTCTCAAGTTTCCTAGTCATGCATATTTTTATTTTATAGTCTGATAAAATCAAATTAATAAATTTAGAGTCTCTGTTCAAAAACTCTGGAATGATTTCACCATTTGCTTTAGATTCTGGACTACTTAAGTGGTGTAAGAATACATTTATAGGCTATTCCACAGGCTCTCTCTACCCTGTACAGACTATGCCACAGGCTTTCTCTACCTTCTTAAATAAAATTATATTTAAAAAAAATCCTCTTTTTATTGATGTGGGATTGGCAGATGCCTAGTTTCAAATAGATTATAAATATTCTGGCTTCTTTTCCAAGGAAAGAAAGCCTATTGATTTCAGAAGAACCCCAAAACTGGCTAAGTGTTTATTAAATTATTGTTGTATGTTCATTCTGGCAAGTACATGGGGAAAATAGGCTAAATTATCCCTTTATTTTGGGCTCATTGTTCACTCTCTTAGTTTATTTTTCTGTGTTGGTGTTGGGAGCTTTAATCTTTTAATTCTGGGCATCTCAAGTTCACGATATGTAGGGATATGTTGTCTAAGTCTTTAGAGTTTTAAGCAATTGAAACATATTAACTTTTAGGATTCTAGTCATCATCAAGTTATGGTTTATATTCTTTCAATGGTAAAAGTCTATTTCATTTTCCAAAATAAAGTTTGAAATTTATAATGATGACATTTTCATTCCTTTCAGATTATACAATTCCAAATTGAGACAATTGTTTTAATATTGTGAATGAATTATATTTTCAATCGAATTATGAAAACAATTTTATATTGGTTTGTTTTGGGGAATAAATGGGCTATAGAATGTAATACTTCACAGTTTATGTCTTGTTTGAAAGCCAAAGCCATGTCTCAATAGTAAGCATAAACTCCTTAATTACTAAGAGGATTAAAATGTCTCATTTCATGTAAAACTAGCAGAAGGGTATTTGCAAAACACAGTAAAAATATTTCGATAATTTCCTAAGTAATACCCTATTTCAATCTATTTTTCTTCTCCTCTAGCTAACTTCTCCCACTACCTTTGAGCATCTTGCTCATAACTCACCTGCTTTCTCCTTTGTTTCTCCAACTAATCAGAAAACGCCACCTGTCCCAGCTAACGTCAGCATCAGCGGAGCCTCTGTGCTAGAGGAATTTCACACTCGCAGGCTGGATGTCACTGGGGCCTCGGTGGAAGAAACAGCTACGTATTTTCACAGCACTGCTCACGAGTCCCCCCTTTCTGCACGGAAAGGCACTTCGACCTTAGTGTTTTCTCCTTCCACTCAACTGCCAGGTTCTAGTTCACGCGGCTCGCATGTCGCTGATCACCCACGTGGGCTGGCCTCTGAAGCACAGAAGCACATGTCGACTTCGCATGTCCTTAATCCCAGGGAAGATGTGAGAACCTCCCCTTCACCTGCCTCTGGTGCTTCCCCGAAGTCACCTTCAGCATCCTACATACCTGTCCGAATTGTCATGCACTCACTGTCTCCAAGTCCCAAACCGCTTACCTCCTCCCCCCACGGCTCTTTATCTACTGTCTGTAGCCAGATGTCATCCAGTGGAAGCCTTTCAAAGTCTGGGCTCAAGTCCCCTGTACCCTCTCGGCTTTCTCTGCTCACTGCTATCCTCAAGTCAAACCCTTCTCACCGAAGGCCGTTGTCCCCTGCATCCTGCCCAACCTTCTCCCTCAGTTCCCTGGCTTCTTCCACTCTTACACTTGATCAGAAAGTAAAGCAAACTCCGTCCACACCTAAGAAATCCCTCTCGAGTTGCTCCTTGACAGCTGGGTCTGCAGAGCAGAGAGAACACCAAGCTCCCGAAGAGACCCACAAATCCCTCCACCTCCCCTTCTTTCCCAAGCCTACCCCGTTTTCTCAGGTGCACCCCCTCGCCCCGCCAGCACCTGCCAGTAGCAGCTGTGCTTCTGCGGATGTAGAGAAGATTCCAGGAGGCTCTCTGAGGAGCAGTGCAACTCTCCCCCAGTTACAGACTGAGACAGTCAGCCTTGCTGATGTTCCTTCTGTCGCATCAGGCTCGTCCTCTTTTTCTTCTTCCAAGGGCGGAACGGATGGTGACCTCAGGGGTCCAGCAAAGAACAGGGATATTTACACACAGCCTTCTACCTTGTTATCCTCTGCACCGCCTGTTACTGAGAGCACTGTCCTTTCCTCTCCAGAGAAATGTTTCCACCCTTCCCCAGCCCTCTCAGACCTCATAGACAGATCCAAAAGAACATGCTTTTCACAACACTCAGGCCAGCAGCAGAGCCTTTCAGTTCCTCCTACTCCTCCCATCTCCAGTGCTGGCTCTGCTTCCCCTACCAACTCGGGGTTCTCCGTTCTCCCTCCTGAGAGTTCACCCACCCAGGTACTCCAGCCTAGGCCCTCATCACTGTACCCAAGTTGTGGGAGTGGTACATGTCCTTCAAGAACTGGGATGCCTGAAAATACAACATCCAACCACAGCTCACTTGTTCCAACCCCATCACTTCCTGTCTCTCTAACAAGAACCAAGGAGCTGATGTCACCTTGTGCCCTGTCCATGTCAACAGGCCCTGAAAATAAGAAGCCTAAGGTATTTTTTTTTTTTTGCATGTTGCATGCTTATTTTGAAATATAAAAGAGTCTTCTTTTCAGGAAAAAGTCAATAATTATTATATCCTTTGTATGACTATGACTCCAGGGACAACACACACACACACACACACACACACACACACACACGCACACACACCACATTTTTTTTTCCTGGGCATGGGTTACAGCTTTAGTCCCCATTAGAAACAGATAGCATTTTGCAGTATTAAGTTTCCGATAGCTTAATAAGAAGTGTCTCATTATCTACCAAAATATTTTGTACTGACCGTTTAGTTAGTAAATAGGATTAATAATATATATAGATCTGGGCTTATGATACAGCCAATAGCACTTTGACGTTTTTATACTTCCTTTGTCTTTGTTTATTCATAAAGATCACCTTTCTTTCCCTCCTGCAAGGCAGTTTTGTTTTCCATTGCTCCCCATGCTGCAAGCTATATCAAATTTTACTCTATACGAATAAGGCAAAATAGAATAGAAAATTTTTATATGTAAAACATTTAACCTGCTACCAGCACTGAATATTTAACACAGAAACAATGTACAAAACAACATAAAGAAACAAAAATAAGAATAGAAGTGATTCTGTCTTTTAAATGCTCCGCTGAGCAAGGGAGTGAAATATCATTTACTTAACACGAGAGAGGAATCGTTTGAGGAGGGATTGCATGATTCAGTCCTGCAGGAGCAGGCTTTTCTACTCTAGGACATGGCAGCCTTCTACGTATTCTCAAAGGACTAAGAAATGGATCCCAACACTCTGAGAATTTGATAGCTGTTAAGTAAGTAAAATAAAACTATGAAAGTGCTGGCCTTAGTGGTACATAGGACTTCCAATTCAATTTATTTAAATAAGATAGTTTCTAGGTTTTGGGATATCAGAGAAAATGAGCTCAGTTCTGTCGTTACCTGATGATGAATGTAAAGTTAAGTTAATAGGGCAACTCACATGATATTGTTATTGTAACACATTTCAACCGGAAAACTAGGCACTAGACACAGTATGCCTACCACTGTACTAGCTTTCTTAGGAGTCTATGTGATAATTTTAGAAAGAAGAAAGAGGTAATTATTATCTTGGAAAAAAAAAAAAAAACCTCATTAACGTTTGACCATAAATGCATGCTTGTGAAACTTGTGTGTCACGTACTAAAATTGTCAATCTAACCATTTTCTGAATTTGTTGACTAGTTATTTTTTAAATTTAAAAATAAGGTCTTTCTACGTAGACCATGGTGGCCTTGAACTTGTGATTCCTGCTTCTGCCTCCTCAGTGTGGACACTCCCTCCCCCCATGCTCTGCACTGAGGTTTCATCCTTTAATGCTTTCTTGATGTTCCTGTTTGCTCTTTAACTGCTGTGATAAAAACACCATAACCACAAGCAATGTGGGAAGGAAAAGGCTTGTCATACCCTCAGGACAGGAAGTCAGGCAGGTGTGGGGCACAGACCCAGGAGGAGTGCTGTTTCCTGAGTTGATCCCGGTAGTTGCCCAGTTTGATTTTTATACAATCTAAGACTCCCTTCCCAAAGATGGTAACACTCAGAGTGGGTCGGCCCGCTCACCTCAGTCATTAATGAAATAAAATGACCCACAGTATTGCCCACAGGCAAATGTGATGTAGGCATATTTTTTTTCAGCTGAGATTTCCTCTTCCCAGATGACCCAAGTTTGTGTTGAGTTGACAAAAACTAGCCCACACACTTACCAAACACTTAAGTTACTCTTTACCCTTTGTGCAAAGTCGTTTCATCACAGACACTTGTTCAAAGGGTTTCTATTTGTGCTCCAGTGTGCTTTGGTCATCCTATCGTGGATATAGTGAGTATTTGATGAGGATGAGCCTGAAAAGCTTTTGATAAATTGAAGACCTGTATGTCAAAGACCTACTTTTCCCTGGTTTTCTTCCTGCTCTCAATTTTTGAAGAATTTTTCAGCATTAGCTCTCTTTGTTTAATTTTCCTGATTTCCAGTTAAGAAAATTGTAGTTTATAGATATGTTTGTTGAAAGTGGTGACCATGAAAATAACAAGAACTATTTACCTGTCAGTCCAAGTCTTAACCTACTCCATTGTTAATAAAAATGTTTCAACACATAAATTCATAATTTCTGCTAAGGAGATGTTTCTGAGGCATACTCTTAATTCCCATCTTAGGTTTTATTTCCTTTTTATTATTGCATTTCTAGTTTAAAATTAGAGAACCAACTCACTTTTTATTACAAACTACATTTCTTGGGAGTTATGCCTTGAATATGGAAATTCATTCAAATTGACATGAGCAGAGATGAGTTGCATTCCCACTTTGTTTCTACATCTGACTGTTGTGCTGAAATTGGAGCAATTACCTCACAGAGGGCAAAGACAATGTAGACAAAAGCTCTGAGATACCAAAGACTTTATTTGCTTTCACGAGTTGATTCTTGCTTCAGTCCTACTAGGTTAGTGCCAATCTAAGCAAAGTGCTTTTTTGAAGTTAAAAAGAAAATTCAGATTTATTTAAGATACATGCACCAAACAGACAGGAGTCCTCAAACACAAGTATTCAACAAACTGGTACAGAAACGCCTGCAAAAAAAAAAATTCAGTTCAAAGTCTGGACTCTATCTACTGTCCTTTGATATTAAAATAAGATGGAATGGCTAGTTAGGGCATACTGAGCTGAATTCAGAAAGAAAACATGTCTGAAGCTCCTTTGTCATTGTCATAATTGTATTGCATTAATATGGTATGATTGACATGCTATTTTCAGGTGTAGCTTTAAAATATTGTTTTCTGTTCATGGCCCTGGACAGGATGGGCTTCTCCCTGGGTATTACTGAGACTGTTCTCTGATTCAACTTCTATATTGTTTGAGACACTTTGAGACGGGGATACAAAATTCACTCAAGGTTGTGTTTGACTTCCAGATATAACTGGTTGTCATTTTTAAAATAGTTTGATTTTTTTTTCCTCTCTTCCTATTGAGCTTCCGCGGTATTTCACATAGAATTGGAGAGACTATTTTATCAAAATCTCATATAATCTAGTACTCACTGGAAATAGTTTCAAATTTCTTCCAAATGAGTGTTTCCGATGGTCTGGCCTGAAGCTATTTAGACTCAACTTGTTTACAGGATCAGTTGGAGCTTTTACGGCTACATGAGGCTTTCTAGCCAGTGTCCCATTGATTGAACTCTCATTCCTTTAAGGAATCAAAACATTTCCAATTTTGTGCTACTGGAAACTTGGTGCAGCAGGAGGGATGTGACTTTTCCTATTTTGTGGAACCAAATATAATTTTAGAAAAAATTAATCTGGGGTCATACATTCAATAAGAATGTAGTGCTGTTTTAATATTAAAATATATGGCATTTTCCTAAAAAAATGTTTACATTTGGTGGTGGAAGAGAAACAATTCATTTCCCAAGTCAATTAACTTTGTAGAGGGTTGAGAGTAGAATGGAGAAAAAGCTAGCCTAGTAAATACAGAAAGGTGTGGTATCTCAGATATGTGTCGGATGGCTGGAATATGTTTCTTTAAGAAGTTTTCGTGCAAGAGGTGTGTAATGAGGAAAATCTCTGAGGCTAAAGAGTACTTGATTGATAGGTAGCGGGGACAGATTTGGAGCAGGTGCTGGGGTGTGTAGTGAGCAAGAGGATGCAAGAGTTGTTTGTGGAAGGGCGACCAGAAGCCAGAGTCTGCTTTAAAGTACCCGATTTTCACTTTGAGGAAGACAGAAAGCTGATGGAGGGTTTCTCTTCTTTTTTAAATTCAAGTTTTAGAAAACATAAAAAAAAAAAATTGTACAAGTACAGTACCTACATTGTTTTCTAATCTCTCTTCCCCACTACAACTCTTCCTGTGTTCCCCCCTTCCTCTTAAATTAATGATGTAAATTACTAAATATCATAATATGCTTGTATATAGATGGGCTTAGGGCTGAATACTTGGGTTAACCTACCAGAGGACTTATTCCTGAAGAAAACCAGATGTCCCTCTCTCAGTAACCATTGATAGGCTGGAGTTCTTCATCTAGAGACATAACCTTCTGAAATTTTCCCCATTTATGTTGGCTAACTCCTATTTAGGCAACCATATTGCTGAGATTTCATGGGAATGACTTTCCTGTCATGCCAAGAAGATACAGTGTAACAGCAGGCTTCCTGGTTCTCTGGCTCTCACAGTCTTTCCACCAGCCTTTTCCTCAAGGGTCCTTGAACTATACGATGTAGGGATTGCATTGCAGATGTAGCAACTGGGGTTGAGCTCTCCATGATCACTTATGCTCTACATTTTGACTAGTTGTAAATCACTAATATCTTCCATCTGCTGCAAAAAGAACCTTCTCTGATGAATGATGAAAGCTACACTTATCTGTGGTATAAGGATACATGATTAGAATACATTTAGAGATTATATTTAGAGATTATATATTTAAGAAAACTACAGGAGTAGGTGGTCCTCTAGGGTCTGTGACCCTTGGGAAGTTGTCTAGGTTTATAATACCAAGCATGAATTCTCTCACTTGAATGTAAGCCTTGTTTAGACAGCTGCTGTTTATCCCTTGGATAAAAGTCCCACTATCGTGTGATTGGGAATTCTGTGCTTAGCTGCTCATTAGTGAAATTTGTAGTCTATACGAACGGTAGGACTATTGTTTGTTTTCCTTTGTTGCCAGTTTCCATAGCACCTTTGGATATTATGAAAGTCAATTCTCAGAGCGGAAGCCTCCAGTTCCAGCTCAGTTATTTTCAGCCCTTTGTCTCAAGTGTGTAGGGTCATCAGCAACAGGCTTTTATTTTTAAATTCTGGGAGGCTCTTGAATAGCTAGGTGGCACAATCCTGACTGATGTAAAGAATGGAATACAGAAAGACAGGCAAGGAAGTAAAAAGACTTTAGAAGGTGATGGTAACTGTCTAGGTAGGCCAGAGTCAAGCCACAGAAACGAAAGTGCAGGTGTTTGTGTAGACTTTGTAAGTTATATTACTTTTAG